GTGATACTGCGAATCCATCTGGATTGGAAACCAGAGCTCCAGGAAAAAAGGAACAGGAAAATAGGGAAGAGAGCCCAGCATCCCTTATCATACAAGAAAGCACAGGAGCCTCCAAAGGCCACAGGAGCCCCAGTGGCAGGACTGATAGCTAATGTGAAGGACTCCCAAAGTTGAAGAGGGAGCACTGTCAGCATTAAATAACATTAGGAAAAAGATTAAAACAAACACACACACTAGGTCTCTCCTCTCCCACTACCTCCCCCACAAACCCTCTCTAGTCTGAGGGGCTTCGGAAGTCAGTCTTGATGGTAACTCAGTGAATCTGGGAGTGTTTGTCCCTCTTGCGGTTCCTGCTACTTCCTTCCCAGGCAGCCGCTCCTGGGGACCCTCTCCTGGCACTCCTTTCGCACACCGGTCCAGCTCAGCTGTGCTGAGACGAACACCAGCGAGGGTCAGTTCCTGCTTAGGGCTGTTCTTAGTTTCCATTGATAGTTTTTAACCTTACAAAGTATTTCAGACCAGAAGGACTGGACCTGTGTACCTAGTTGGCTACTCAGATAAATTCCACTTAAAATGATAAAAATCAGCCCTGGCCGGTTTGTCTCAGTGGTTGGAGCATCGGCCTGCGGTCCAGAGAGACCCGGGTTCAGTTCTCGCTGGGGGCACGTACCTTGGTTGCGGTCTGTGCCCAGCTCTGGTTGGGTTATGCGGGAGGCGGCCACTTGATGTGTCCCTTTCACGCTGATGTTTCTCTCTCTCTCTCTCTATCTCTCTCTTCCTCTCTCTCCCTCCTACTCTATCTGAACAAAAAAATGGGAAAATGTCCTTGGGTGAGGATAAAAAAAAAAAAGATAAAAATTAGCCCTTTGTCCCTCTCTGCCTACAGATCGAGTGGAGCAAGATGGAATGGAAACTGTACACTCTGCACCCTTATCTTTCTTATAGAAAACGTTCCTTTGCTCATTCTGCTTTTGTTCTTTTGACCTCCAGCTAGAAGTGCTAAAACAGTTATAAGCTAATAGATTTAAAAGAGGCTTGAAGGGAAGACAGAAATGAACAGTCATGGCCTTGGGCAGCTGGGCACCCATAATTATTATCAATGGCCCACAAGGTAAGTGCTGTGGAGAGTGAGATCGAATAAACACATGCCATTGGTGCTGCCAGTCCCCTTTCTAAAAGACAAGTTTCATCATGTCCCTGCCTTATAAGAGCTGATATGTGATTACAGGATTGATATAAATGAGTCCCTGCTCTATAAAGAAGTAGGAAATAGAATTCAGCAGTGAGTCTGTCAAAGACATAAAATGCCACTGCTGCCCTGGCCGGTTTGGCTCAGCGGTTAGAGTGTCGGCCTACGGTCCAAAGAGACCCGGGTTCAGTTCCCACTAAGGGCACGTACCTTGGTTGCACTTTGTCCCCGGCCCTGGCTGAGTCATGCGGGAGGCAGCCACTCAATGTGTCCCTTTCATGTCTATGTTTCTCCCTCTCTCTCTCTCTTCCTCTCTCTCCCTCCCACTCTATCTGAACAAAAAATGGAAAAATGTCCTCCGGTGAGGATAAAAAATAATAATAAAATGCCACTGCTTCAGAAGAACCAATAAGCCCTGGCCAGTGTGGTTCCATCGGTTGAGCGTCCCATGCACTGAAATGTCACTGGTTCAATTCCGGGTCAGGGCACTTGCCCAGGTTTCCCTGATGCCCAGGTTTCCCAGGTCAGGGTGCATGTGGGAGGCAGCCAATGGATATTTCTCTCTCACGTTGAAATTTCTCTCTCTCCCTCTCCCTTCTCCTCTCTCTAAAATCAATAAAAACATATTTAAAAAAAATTTTTAATCAATAAATTTCTATTATGAAAAATAAAACAAAATAGTCACTGTTGAGAGTTCTCAGAGATCTTCAAAACTACCCCTTTCATCTGACAGATGATGAAACTGAGACCCAGAAAGGGTAAGGGACTTGTCCAAGACTGAACAGCTGTTTAGTGGCAGCACTAGGCCTAGAACCCACACCCCTCAGTCCAGGCTACTGTCCCTTCTACTGCTTGTTGAGCTTTCTAAGCAGGCCCCTTCCCACAATCTCAGTTAAGCAAATATGCATGTTCAATAAGGGACCAGAGCAAACCCCCTTTCAAAACAGTTCTTCCCAGGGGAAGAGAATGGGCCACTTTGCTTTCTAGTGTGGTGAGAAAAAGACTGGCTTAAAAAGGAGGCAAGACTGGGTTCTAGTCCAGCCTCAGGCTTTTCATAGCTGTGTATTCTTTGACAAACCCCTGCTCCTCTCTGGAGGGCCTTAGTTTTTTATTTTTTATTTTTCTTTCTTTATTGATTTTAGAGAGAGGGAAAGAGATAGAAACATCGATGAGAGAGAACATCGACTGGCCGCCTCCTGCACGCCCCCCACTAGGGATTTGGTCCACAACCTGGGCATGTGCCCTGAACCGGAATCGAACTGGCAACCTCTTGGTGCATGGGTCGATGCTCAACCACTGAGCCACACTAGCTGGGCTGTTTGTTTTTTAAGATGGAGGTGAATACTGTCCTAGATGACCTATAAGGTACCTGTCTAGAGTTAAAGTTTGACTATTCCATAGTTTTCTGGGAGGAAAGTTTTGAGAACATTGGGATTACTTCCATATCACCTCATTCTAGAGCAGTGCTAGCCAATAGAAATATATTACAAACCATATATATGTATACTTCTTATAGTCCCACTAAAAAAAGAAACGGATGGCCCTGGCCGGTTTGGCTCAGCGGTTAGAGCGTCGGCCTGCGGTCCAGAAAGACCCGGGTTCGGTTTCCGCTAAGGGCACGTACCTCGGTTGCAGTTTGTCCCTGGCCCTGGTTGGGTCGTGTGGGTGGCAACCACTCGATGTGTCCCTTTCACGTCGATGTTTCTCTCTCTCTCTCCCTCCCTTCCTCCCTCCTTCCAACTCTATCTGAACAAAATATGGAAAAATGTCCTCGGGTGAGGATTAAAAAAAAAAAAAAGAAACGGATGAGAATTAATTTTAATAATAGATTCCACTTAACCCAATATATTCAAAATACTACTTAAACATATAATCAATATAAAACAAATTACTGAGATATTTTAATCACTTTTGCATAATGAGATAGTCCAGGAAGCCAGGACAAGTGGAATAGGAAAACTGAAACAGCTGAACAAACTGACAGAGCAATTTATAGCAGATACAGCAAGTCACCTCCCTAGAAATAACATCTAGGCCTCAGTTGTATTTCAGCTCCAGACCCACAGAGCAGCAAAACCAGGTGGGTAACACCAGGACCAGCTGCAATGACTAATGACTATCCCCCATGCCCTGACACTAACCAACCAATGAAGACCAAGACCCTGAAGGAGCACTCCTAGAAAACTGATGAACATTCTGTTGAAACCCTCCCATAAGACTTCCACCTACAAGAGAGAAATAAAAGCCTCAAGACAGAGAATCCATTATGAGCTCTCCTTCCCAGGAGCACATTCACATCTCCCACCAACCCCTTTCCCCACAGGCCTGCATCTCCTAAACTCTAAGGGACCCCACGAGGCTCACAATCCAGTGGCAGTTCATCCCAGGCAAACCCCCTGAACCTGTCCCCAAGCCCCCTTTTCTCTGACTTCTTAGTGAGCCCAAGCAGACCAGCCTAGGCTCATTTCCCCAGCCCTTCCTTGTTTCATTGTTCCCAGCTTTAATAAACGTCCTCCAAAATTCACCTGGACTCTTGTGAAACATTTCCCGCGTGAAGTTAAGAACCCATTAAGAACCCAGACACTACAGGCTGGCCCTAGGCAGATCTGCTCGGGGCCAGGTCCCCATTCTGGTAACAATACTAAGTCTTTGAAGTTTAGTGCATATTTTACAGTTGTGAATGTGGACTAGCCATATTTCAAGTGCTTCACAAGTACAGTGGCCAGTGGCTACCTTCCTAGACAATGTAGGCCTAGAGTTTAGCTCAGGAGTGACCTACCTGGTTGCCTCACCCTCCTGCGGTCCATTCTAACTCCAAAGCCACCAGTTATCTATCTTTCTAAAAAAAAAAAACTAAATCATGTCACTCCCCAGCTTAAAAGGTCTCTGACATCTCCTGCCCTTGTAGAACAAATTCTGAACATCTTCGCATAATTGAAAAGACCCTTCACAATCTGGCCTCAATTTTCCTTTTAAACTGTTCTCTTCTCTCTTTCTTTCCAAGTTGTGGCCACAATGACAGAAACTTCTCTCACCCAAAAGGCTTTTCCATCCTCCTTGCATTATTTTCTCTCCACTTAGGGATTTCCTTGAGGATTCATTCCTTCATCCATTCAACGAGTGCCTACCAAATGTCAGGCAGCCTGCGGGGCCTTGGGCCCAACTCAAAAAACGACAAGGAACCTTCTTTATCAACTCTTACCCCTCCCCCCCCGCCCCCCCCCCCCCCCCATACTCCAACCTCCACCTCGCTCTAGGTTTAGCCACATCCCCCAGCGGGGTGGTTTGTTCACGTGTCCTCTCTCACACCCTCCCCGAAGCCACGGAGCGAGCCTTCTTGCCATTTCTTCAACACCTGCCACATCGCAAATGCTCAATAAACCAAGAAGGGGGTGAACGACCAGTCAATCCCCACCTTCTCATCGGAGGGACATAAGCACGCAATAGGGAGGGTTGTGGGGAATATCCGGCCTGATGTAGTCCTGCGGGTCTTCCCAGAGTGGCGGGTCGGCTAGGACCCCCGCAGAGCGGGGAGACACGCCCCCGACCCAACGCGTCTCCCCGCCAGCCTCCCGAGCCCCCACGTCCGTCCCCGCCAGCGTGGCCGGAGCGACCCAGGAGCGAAAGGGGCAGGAACAAGGAGTTGGCGCTGGCACGTGCGCGCAGGAGACTGTCGGCAGGGGGCCTCTCAGCTCGGGTCGGAGGCACCCACGTGCAAGCAGCGGCGGGACTACAAATCCCAGGGGGTGTCAAGAGAAAGAGGCGGAAGGGACGGCCTTGGGCGGGGCCGGCCCGAGCCAGGCGGAGCGAGGCAGGAGCGGCTGAGAGCCACGTTCTGGCCGCTGGCACTGCGCGCGGAAGACCATGTCCGGCGGCGGCAGCTGCAGCCAGACCCCAAGCCGGGCCATCCCCGCCACTCACCGGGTGGTCCTCAGCGACAGCGTGCAGCTACCCCCCGGGGACTACAGCACCACCCCCGGCGGCACGCTCTTCAGCACCACCCCGGGAGGTAGGCGCGGGCTCGCGGGGTCCGGGTGCGGGCGGGGAGGACGGACTGGACCGAGCGGGGGCTCCGCCACCGCCCATTGGACGGGCGAGTAGACTCAGAGGCTCGGCGACTGGGAAGAACGGCTAAGGGGCATCGGGGAGACAGTGAGGGTCGAGGAAGTGGCCACAGGGAACGAGCGGTGGCCGCGTCCCGTTGCCTGCTCTCTGGGTGCGTCCTCCAGAGCCGGAATTGCAAAATGCCCCATGAGTTTTCTTCTGGGAAAGACAGCTGAGTGCCCCCCACCCAAACAGATAGGCATGTTTCCAGGACTGCCACATGCCGAGGCGTGCTGCCCCTTGTGGGTGTTGGGGACAGTTCTTAGTGGGAATGCGGTGAGGTTAGGGTGCCCACGGGTCGAGGAGAGTACTGGCCTGGGGTTGGGGCCGGGTGGCATGGGCGTTCTCTGTTGGGGTAAATGAGCCTTGCAGAGTCCTCTTTCCTTCCCGAGGTACCCCCAGTTTTGCGTCGGGCAAGCACCCTCACGGAGGTTTGGGGCTGAGGCGCTCGCCTGCTCCAGCAGCCTCGCCGGCACCTGTGGCAAATTGCCCATTTGTGTGTGTGGGAACTATGCCAAGGGACCTGGGGCTTCAGGCAGGGCTGTGCAGAAAAACACGTTCCTCTGTCCGGGGGGGTAGGAGGGGGTAGAGGGGACCCGTGTGACCTCCCTAAGAGTGGATGAGGAAGAGGAAGCTGAGCTGGCGCGGGCTGAGGTCAGCCTTGGGCTGCCCTGGGGAGCCAGGCATTCCCTCCCAGCCCGGGAGCCCCAGCGCACAGGCGCTGATGAAACCTGCCCGCCTGTTTGCATAATGAAATCCTCCTCGTGGCTCACCACGCCCCTCCCATCCTCGTGCTGCCCTCACCCCATTTTGCCCTTCTTCCCTCCCCTCCACCCTCCACCACTTCTGCCCAAACTACTCTAGAACGGCCAGGATCTGGCGCTGCGCAGAGACTAGGGTGCAGGCGGATGCAGGCGGATGCAGGCGGGGCAGGATGCAGCTCATCGGCCAGCGTCCGGGGCCACATGTTTATTTGCTCAGGCAGCTGTCCCACTACCAGCGAGGTGTTGGGCTGTTTGATCCAAAACATACAAAGTTAGAATTGTTAGGGGTCTTAGATGTTCTTGTCCAGCCGTGCCACCTTATTCTACAGAACATGGCACTGAGGCCCCAAAGCTTAAAAACACGTGTTCGTTGTCCAGTGACATACAGTTTTCCCAAATTGGGCAAGAAATAGCAACCAATGCCCTGCGGTGGCTCAGTGGTTTGGAGCTTGATCCCATGGACAGAGAGGTTTGATTCCCTGTCAGGCCACATGCCAGGGACACATCCCCAGTAGGGGGCGGGCAGGAGGCGGCCGATTGATGTTTCTCACGATGGTTCTCTCTCTCCCTTCCTCTCGCTCTTAAAAAAAATCAATAAAAACATTTTTTTTTTTTTTAAAATAAAGAAAGAAATAGCAGCCAAGCATAGAGGGGAAAACTGCCCGCGTGCCCTCTCGCTCTCTCTCTCTCTCCCCCTCCCTCCTTTTAAAAATGACCCACGGAAAAGTTCCCAGGGACTCTTCCTGCCACTTTTGACTCCACGTCTCTTTCCTGGCTGGTCTTTATGTAATCCATGCTGCTCTGCGTCTTCTGTGTCGTGATGTCTTTCAGGACCTTTCCCAACAGTTTGAGGGATTTCTTCAAGTGAGGGTGTGAATCTGCTCGATCTGTTCAGGGTGGGCACTGAGGCACACCTGAAGGCTCAGGAAGCCTTCTTGCACCCCTTGTTGCCCGATGGGGACAGATCAGATTGGAAGAAGTACCCAGTGATACTGTTTATAGGGAACTCTCTACTTCTCATTTTGGACTGGGAAATGGGTGTTTTTTTGTTTTGTTTTGTTTTGTTTTTTGACAGACTATAGCAAATCCTCCTCTCTTTGAGGGTCTTTAGTTGGGAGCAGGGGAAGGAGCTTCCCCATATCAGAGTGTAACTTAGTTTCTGAGGCCAACTGGGAGAAAGCTAGCCGTGCCAGGAGCCTAAAGCCAGTCTTTCTTGTCTGGGGTGTCCAGTGGGGCAGGCACAGCTCACAGCCCCTTACCAAAGAATCCATCCTTACCTCTGCCTCAGTTAGCCAAGGTGTGAAATCTTCCAAAACACACTTTACCCGCCCTGGCTGGTTTTGCTCAGTGGTTAGAGCTTCGGCCCACAGACCGGAGAGTCACGGGTTCGGTTCCCACTAAGGGCATGGACACGGTTGCAGTTTGTCCCTGGCCCCGGTGGGGTCGTATGGGTGGCAACCACTCGATGTGTCTCTCTCACATCGATGTTTCTTTCTCTCTCTTTCTCTCTCTCTCTCTCTCTCTCTCTCTCTCTCTCTCTCTCATTTTTCCTCTCTTCCTCCCACTCTATCTGAAGATAAATGCAAAAATGTCCTTGGGTGAGGATTTAAAAAAAAAAATACACACTTTACCCTACCCCTTTGCCAGGACAGAAAAGCTTGAACTAATGAGAAAAGATCATTCTGTTACCCTTTGCTCCAGTCTAGAGTGCTGTTTCTCAGTTTTCAATGTGCATATGAATCACCTGGGGACCTCATTTAAATGCAGATTCTGATTCTTTAGGTTCTGGGGTAGGGCCTGAGATTCTGCATTTCTAACTAGCTCCCAGTGATTGCTTTAAATACCACACTGAGCACAGTAGCCCCCCACTTATCCATGGTTCCAGTTATCCACAGTACAAAAAGATTAAATGGAAAAATCCAGAAATAAACAATTCATAAGTTTTAAATTGCACATCATTCTGATCGTGATGAAATATTATGACATCCTTCTCTGTCCCACCTGGGTAGTAAATTATCCCTCTGTCCAACATATGCACACTGAATATGCTATCCACCTGTTAGTCACTTAGGGTTTGGTACTAACCATGGTTTCAGGCATCCACTAGGGGTCTTGGAATGTGTTCCCCATAGATAAGGGGGGACTACTGTACTCAGGAATTAATAGAACATGACTTTTCTCACCTTTTTAGACCTTGGGGTCTGGCAAAAAGTAATGCTTCTATCCTGGTAAACTTGTCTTAAGGTTGGATTTGGCATCAGTCTTTAAACCAGGGTCTGGAGAGAGTCTGCATGGGTGCCCACACCCTTTTACAGGAGCTGTCAGGAGTTGCTGAATAAGTGTCCAGCAGTCACTCCCGCTGGATATGGCACTGCAGTGTTTGTCTCTGGAAGAAAAGGAATAGCGGTTGATTGGAGCCATCTTCATTCCAGTGACTCTGGTTTACTTTCCATGGTATTTATCACCACCACCACCACCACCACCACCCCCACACACACACACACACAGGCTGAGCCACTGATGTGAAGTTAAGGTCTGGAGAATTTAAGAGGAATTTGCTGAATGGAGTGTACTTTATGAATATTTGAGTTCATGGAGTTTTGAAAATCTCTGGTGGCACCATGAACCAGCAGACTGGGTCAGAAACTTTCCTCTGTTCTGCCCGACCCTCACCAATCTCTATGTTCCCAGTTCCATGTTAGCTATTTGACCCCAAAGCCTATAGGGTTTGCTTGGGTATTAGTCATACTTAAGCCCTATGCCTGGATAAGGTTAATCAGAGGTAAGCAGGTAGGGCTACAGGTGTTAATGACACCTTGTTTGGTTAGACAAACAAAGTCTATGCCCAGGAAGCTTACCTTGGAGCAGCTCCCAAGTGTTTGGCTATGGAACAGACACTGCCGGGAAGAGAGGGAGGTCACTGGGCACTGAAGCGAGGGCACAACCAGTGGCCTGAGGCCTTAGTCATATAGGGGAGAATACATCTCATTATTGAGGACAGGTAAAAAGTACTTGGACATTAAGGCATCGAGGGAAATATAATGGGCCTCTTTTCACACTGACCTGAGCTTCCTTTGAAAGCACTTAGAACATTCCACACTGAGTCCCTCATTAGAGACTTTGATGGGGGCCTACTTGTAGAGCACCCACACTCACTCTGATGACCACAAGCCTCCCTGTTTTTAAGGCATTTACCACATCCAGAATTGAAAGTCAGTCCGACTTTAAGGGATTGGATTTCTATTTGAGAAAGATGAAGACACACCTGAAATAGAATTATAAGCATCAAAGTTGTATCTATAGAATGAAGCAATTAGACAGACACCCCCCCCAACCCCATAACCAGTAGAACTTGTATGATACTCAAGTGAGAATTGCCTACTCAGAGTAGTCACCCTGATAGGCCTCACATTCTAACAATGCAGATATAGCTGTTAGCCTCATCCTAGGACATCTTTGCATTTATCTTCAGATAGAACAGGAGAGAGAGGGAGGAAGAGAGAGAGAAACATTGACGTGAAAGGGACACATCAAGTGGTTCCCACCCCCACGACCCCAGCCTAGGCTGGGGTCAAACTGCAACCGAGTTATGTGCCCTTAGCAGGAACCAAACCTGGGACTCTGGTCCGCAGGCCGACACTCTAACCGCTGAGCCAAATCAGCCAGGGCTCGCTGTTAGATTTTTAATTGCATTCAAAGGCTTACATATTTTTTTTCCATATCTTCAAAGGTGGCAGGCCTTATTATTTGAAAGAGGAGTTTGATTTTTTTTTTTCTTTTCCCTGAAAGAGCAAAGAAATCCTTTATTACCGAATTTGGTGAAAGTGCTGGCCAGTGGTACCATCTTTATCTGTTGGTAGTGAGGCATTTTCTCATATGGGACTTTATTCGATGTTATTCCAGAAGAGGAGTTAAGAAGGGGCAGCAGTATTGAAAAAAGGATTGCTTCCTGAGGTAAAAATTCTTGACAAAAATTATTTGTTTGTACACATAGATTCTTGTATGTTCCACCAAATGAAAAACTTGTTACTTTCTGGTCTTACCTAGATCCATGCCAGTGTTCTTCCTCCATTATGATTCATAACAAATGAATCACGTGTATATGTTTACGTTTTTGTTCCCTAGGCTGGCCAGGAAGTAT